ATGCATTTGACTTTTTGTCCAAATGCCTAACTGCTCTACAGAGGTTGTACCAGTTTGTATTCATGTGCAAGAGTGCCTGTTTCTCCACAGGTTCCGTAAACTGGGTTTTTTGCTAATAGACGTGAAAAATGGATTTGGGGTTTTTGTCTTTCTTGTTTAAAGTTGATTTTAAAGTCAGCTCCCACTCCAGGCTACCACTGATAGAATTTCTGTTCCTGTAGTTTTACCTTTTCCAGAGTGTCATGCAACATACTAAGTCAAAACATTTTTCTGGGATTCATGTTCATGGTTCAGTAGGTCTTTATTACCAGTCAGTATTCCATTGTATTGAATGTACCACTATTCTAAAATTCAACCATTGAAAGACGCTTGGGTTTTCTACAGTTACTGGAGAGTGTTAATAAAGCCACTAAATTGTGTGCAGGTTCTTGTGTGGACATATGTTTTCATTCCTCTTGGGTGAGAATACAGTCACCATGCTGCACATTGTATCCTCATGTTTGTCCTTTTATTTTAGCCATCCCATTAGGATATTCCTCTCCGCTACTATCCTTCCTCCCCCAGCTTCAGTTGTCCCTTTGGATCAGCTCTTTTGACATTTGGAGCTAGACAAATTTTTGTTGGGAGTGGGTTGCTGTTCTATGTATTGTAGAAGGTTTAGCAGCATCCATGGCCTCTATCCACTAGGTGCCAGTAGCACCCAAACTCCCATCATGATAAAAATCATCTTCAGACAGTACCAAATGTCCCCTTGTAGGTGAAATCATCCCCAGTTAAAACCTCTCTGGAGCTCCTGTCCCCTCAAACATGGTTCCGATGCCTCTGCTCTGAACTTCTGCATCAGACAGGCTTTCTTGCACTGCAGCATAATGTCCTGATTACTTGTCTCTTCCTCCATTATATATTCAGCTTCCTGAGGAGTGGAGCGGTGACTTAGTTTAAGACCCTAGCAGAGAGCAGGAACTTAGCTCCTTGTTGGATGAAAGGTTTCCATAGGTAAATTTCTAGAAGTGGAATGACGTTTCAGAGGGCACGGTCCTTTCATCACCTTTGCACATGTGTAGCTGAAGCACTTTACCAAAAAGATCATACTGACTTGTGTTTACCCCAGACTTCGCCATCCTGGGTTCAAATAACTTTTCCAAGGTGACACACAAAGGAACAGACCCTGGCAGTTGCAAATTTCCAAGTTCAAATTGGAAATTCTGGTGCAGCAAGCCCCCTTATGCCCACAAAGGGGCGCAGGAGAACATGGCATCTGGAGCTCCAGGGTGCTGATATCTCCGAAGAGCTGCTCTTAATGTAGCTTGATCTTTGGGTTTTTCATCAATGTGGAGGCTTGTTCCTTAGTTATGGTAATTCAAAGGCTCCAAGGAGACTTTCTCCCTCCTCGTTTTCAAATGTCTCTTTCATCATATTTTGCTTCCCTGCTGCCTTAGCCTAATAGATCTGCCCATGAGCTGAAAGAATATTCTTTGAGGGGGGAGGGAGGGAGAACAGGACCTACCATATCCTTTGGAAAAAAAGATTTTGAGTAGGTGTGTGTTTCCTCTTTGAAAAAGTGATTAGTGAGATGGAAATAATCAGTCTCACCCACAGATTCTGCCAATATGTGTGTCTATGTAGCAGATGTGTGTGTGTGTGTGTGTGTGTGTGTGTGTGTTTTCCTTGTGTTTTGAAAGACCTTAAAAATTAACATGGCTGCCTCTTTTTTTTTTAAAGCTATTTCAAGCTCTATTAGGCTTATCAAGGGCTACTTATCTTCATGCCACACTCACATTTTTCTAAGCCTGGTAAGGATTACAGACTCATTTGAGACAGTCAGCTGGTGCAGAAAAGCCAGCAGAAGGGAGAGATACTGCAGAATCCCAGAGGGGCCCAGTTAGGGCAGCAGGGAGATGGTCTCCATCAACAAGCTTGCTCCCTCTTGGGAAGATGCCTCCCAGGGGAAACTGAGTCCTGCCTCCTAAGAGCTCTCCTTCCTGCTTCCTCTTTGCTTCCAAGTGAAAGTTACCAACACCTTCCCTTGCTCCATTTCCCATTCTGACCCCTCATTCTCAAATGGAAGTGTGGAAAGGATAATTCCAAAGAAAAGTCATAAATCATAAACCCTTTTTATGAGTCTGTGAATGGATGTTTTCCTGTGTGCATGGTGTGTGATTGTGTGAGTGCGTATGTGCCTTGTCTTGACTAAATTTAGATTCTCTGCCTCCAGGCTTTTAGCACCAAGTTCTTTTAACCAGGGACTTTCTTTGTCCTGCTGATCCGTTCTAGAAGTTCCCCATAAATGGTCTTTTTCCAGAGGGGGTTCTATAAATATTAATTCATCAGCAGCCTCATCATGGTACAGTGGCAGCCATGTGGTCCTATGACTAATTAATTACTGTTGCTAAAATATTAAATAACTACTCATTATGTAGTCTAAAGACTTTCAGTACTGGATATGTGCTGTTTTCACTAATTGGGATGAAGGACAATAATTCCTGGGGCATCTTGACTCCTGATCTTGAAATATAAACAATAAAATCAGGAGAATTTTTCTCTGAGCTGCACAAGATGGTTATTTAGATCTACTAGGGGCTTAAAAATGCTTGAGGAACAATTATAATGAAAATAAAATTAATCATTGTAAGGAGCATGAGATTGTTGCAACAGTACAATGTATATGAATTATTTATTTGGGAGGGAGGCAGTGCAGGATGGAGCTGGCTGCAGGTTCAAGTGTCCATCCTGCCAGTTCCTAAGCAGGTACAAGGCATTTAATTCTGAGCCTCAGTTCCTTGTAAAGTGGGGCTATTAATGAATACTCTGTAGGGTGTTATGATGGATAAGTGAATGGATGTACCTTCACCCTTAGGTGCTCAATAGCTTTTATTTTTTATTTCTGCTTTTTTCAAAAGTATGTGTATTCTAGAAAGAAAACTTGGGAAACATTCCAAAGCAAACAAAACAAAACAAAAAACAAAAACATCACCCAGTCACCTGTAAATGCACTGCTGAGCTGAGATTCACCCAAATGTTATCAGGCATCATACCTTCCCAGACTTTTATTCTATACCTATATTCATACATGCATGTAATTTGAGAAATGCAATCATCCTATAAATATGATTGAATTTAAAAATTTCCTTACTATTTTAGCTGAATTTTTTCATTAGCAAGATACCATGAACATTCACTCATTTCAATATTTTTCATAAATATTATTTTGGATGGCTTTGTAATATTCCATATCATGGATATATCATTATTATAGTTAACCAATCTCATATTGTTGGACATTTAGCCTGATTATAATTTTCCTTCTTATAAACAATACTAAGCTGCACACGCCTGTGTGTGTGTGTGTGCGCGTGTGTATGGATCTAATTATTTCCTTTGGAGAGCTTCCTCAAAATTGAATTACTGGATCAAGGGGTAGGTACCTTAATGTTCTTCTGATTTATTTTTTATTTATTATTTATTAAATCTTTATTTTTTTAGAGCAGTTTTAGGTTGATAGCAAAATTGAGAGGAAGGTACAGATATTTCCCATGTGCCCACTGCTCCCACATGTGCATAGTCTTCCCCATTATCAACATCTGACACCAGAGTGGTGCATTTGTTACAGTCGATGAACCTACACTGACACATCATCACCCAAAGTCCATTGTTTCCCTTAGGTTTCACTCTTGCTGTTGTATCTTTGTAGGTTTGGACAAATGTATAATGACACGTATCCACCATTACAGTAATGTACAGTGTATTTTCACTGCTCTAAAGATCCTTGGTGCTCTACCAGTGATCTTTTTATTGTCTCTATAGTTTTGCCTTTTATAGAATGTCATATAGTTGAAATCATGAAGTATATATCCTTTCAAATGGGCTTCTTTCTCCTAGTAATATGCATTTAAGATTCCTCAACGTCTCTCATGACTTGATAGTCATTTCTTTTTAGTGCCAAATAATATTCCACTGTCTGGACGCACTAGAGTTTATCTATCCAGTCACCTACTGAAGGGCATCTTGGTTACTTCCAAGTTTTGGCAATTATGGATAAAGCTGCTATAAACATCCATGTGCAGGTTTTTTGTGGACACACATTTTTAAGTCCTTTGATACAAAGGAGCACTTCATTTTTCGTAAGCATAAAAGCAAAACAAAGATAACTTTCTCACCTCAACCATTCCAGACCAGCCCCACTCTGCTTGGCTACTCACATTAGCAATTTCCTATGTTTTCTTCCACACATTTTTCTCAATACATATAGTTCTTTCCTGTTTTTATAAAAACGGGATGGCGTGCATATATTTAAGGTGTATGTAAATCCGTATTGAATGTTGATAAAATGTAACAGTAGTTTTAACTTCCACTCAGGGAGCATTTAATAAGTGCTAGACAGTGGGCACCGAGCATTGCGACTGGTGTTTTCATTAAGTTTTGAGTGCTTCTTAGGTACTAGACTTTTCAGTTACTGTGAAGCACCTACTGTGTGGTTCTACCAAGAGCTTATGAACAAGTTTGCAACGCCTACTCTGTGCCGTATTTTTTTTTTCATATATCACATTTGAACGTGAAAGCAGGGATTGATTGAACCTCTATGCTCTGCCCACTGGCTCTTGTCTGAGCGAGGGGTGCACACCTGAGTAGGGGGAGGAAGGAGGCGGTGGCCTCTTTCCCAGGTGGACTGCACACCCAGGGTGTCCCCAGATGGCTAGGGAAAGAAGGGGAGGAGAAGGACAGTCTGAGAGTAAAATGAATTGAAAGGCGACGTGAAAGCCCCACGGACCCGGTTCCCCGGGCTGTGGGCGGGGCCAGCGGTGGGCGGGGCCGGTATTGTCCGCTCCGCGGGGCATGCCGGGAGCCCCCGCCCCCCAACATGGCGCCTCACTGACAGTTGGCTGCCGAGCGCCGGAGGCGGATCCTGCTCCTCAGGGCGGCGGCGGCGGCGGCGGCGGCGGCGGTGGCTGCCGGGCCGGGGTCTCCGGGGCCGGGGGGGTGGGGGGATGGCGGATCGGACCGCCTAGGGCGGAGCTGCACGGGCGAGGCGGCGAGCGGGGCGTTGCAGGCGGGCGCGGCTGCTGCTGCCATGGACTGGTAATCGCGGCGACTCCTGCTCGCGTCTCCCCGGGCCGGGCGGCTGCGCCTCTCCGTCAGCCCCTCAGCCGGGGCCATGGGCTCGTCAGCGGCCGCGGCAGCTGCTGCGGCGGCGGCCGCGGACTCGGCGCAGTGGCTCTCAGTGAAAGAAGAGACCATCTTTCTGCATGACGGGCTGATCCGCGTCACCGACCTGGCCGAGCTGCCCAGTGAGATCCTCGGGGCCCCGGAGGCCGCCGACACCGACTTGGAGGTGAGCGAGACAGCTCCCCTGGTCTCCGCCGTCAGCCCATCCGCCCCGCTGCTCCGCGGTCAGGCTCTCTCACCGCAGCCCCGAGGCCCCGAGGGCTGCCCGGGCAGGTGTGCGTGGGCGCGCGGCGGGCAGGTAGGGGACCTGCGGGTCTGCTGCCCGTCCGCCTGCCTCCCTCCCTCCTCGCATCCTCAGGCCCTCCGGGGATTTCATTTGTGGTTTCATTGGGAACGACCCGACCCCCGGCATTTTATTAGACTGTCAGCCGGCACGGCCTTCACGCCCTGGAGGAGCCCCTGGCGCCTCCCCTGTCCTCCCTCCCTCCCCTCTCCCCCCGGACCCCCGGACTCACTTCCAGGGCACACCCAGGTTGCTTAGCTTTGGGGACATTTTAATTTTAACGCTGTTATCTGTCTCCCCGCTTTCCTTCCCCAGTTCTGTGTTGATTTTTTTTTCCCCTCCCCGGGGGAGGTTAGTGGCAGCTGCCGGTCCGCGGTGGGCAATCCGGCAACTTCTGTGTGTCATGCCGCGGGTTGACACGGGGCCTTTGTCAGGGAAGCGGGCGGCGTGGACAGCGAGGGGGACGCCACAGCGGCCTCCGCGCGCCCTCCGCCAAGGGTCACGGGCGCTTCAGGCCACAAGGCCTCTCTGTGAGCGCGGGGCTCGCGGCGGAGCCCGGGCTTAGGAGCCGTGGCAGGTGCAACAGCCAATCTCAGCAATTGTGCCCGTGCTTTGGGGGCAGAAGGAAACCGAATATGCTCGGGCGATGGGAACTTTCCATCGGCTGCACTTGGTTCCCCTTCGCCCAGAGGTGGAAATACCGGCTCTTTCGTTTCATCGAGGCCACCGAGGCTGACACCGCTCCCCGCACCCCCCGCACTGTGTCACTTGGTGGAATGACATTTTGATGTGTAGGTAGCATGGAGTGTCATGACATTCTTACTGTCGCAAAGAAGATTCGCTGGGGTAGGGCGCAGAGAGGATGGCCTGTCTTCTGGCTATAAACGGAACGCGAGGAATCTTTTGTGTTTTGCGGTTTTGCATGCACTTTGGCTTTCAGTGCAACGAACGTTTATAGAAATGGATAAAACCCATTACTGTGTGTTTCTGGAAACGGCAGCGATCAGATCGCGTTGCCTGAGACATTTGGACGTGCCTAAGATGCGAAAACGTTCCGCTGTATTTTTGTGTCTGGATTTGAGGTTGAGGCTGCAGCGTTCTCGTTGTGAACTCTTAATTGATTTAGTCCACAGTCTGGCTACCGAAAAAAGAAAGATACAAGTTGATAGGGAATTCCTAACATTAAACCATAGTTTTATTGCGTCTCATTCGGGCCTATAAAAAGCAAGGTGTGTCTGAATGTCTTATCTGCTGAAAACTCAAGGGATAATATGTTATGAGGGTGGAATCTTATGACTTAATTGACTCTGTTGTATGTAAGATATGGGAAACGAATGCTCTTTGTTCATTAGAGATTAATCTTAAGTTCACAGGTCCAACAAATTTATCTATGTAATTTATTTATTTTTAGGATTAAAAAATGTAGTAGTTAAAAATACATGAGTTGTTAAGTTGGTTTTCCTAAGATGTTTGCTGTATAAATGTGTTGAGTGAATTTGTCAGCTATTTCCTCAGAAGAATGATTTTAAACAAAAGAGCATCTGTGGCCTGATTAAAAAAAAACAAAAACCCTTAAAAAATTTATGATCTGACCTCTCAAGAACCAATATGTGTTAAGGATGATATATATTTATGACGGGCAGTTGTGAAGAACTTTTTTCATTTCTTTCCATATGTTATGTAGGCTACATAGTATCAGGAGAAATGGGTAGCTAAGAATGTTTTTGTGGCTGTTAGATTTTTATTTGTGTGGGTGTGTTCACATTTAATTATTTAATTATAATAATCTTGATTAAATGTATCCCTTGTGTCAGGCCTCATCTTTCTAAGTTCTCAAAAGGGTCCTAGTAGCTACATATTGTTACACATTGTAACAACTGTAAATATTGCACCCATTGTACAGATAAGGCAAGTCAAGTGCAGAGCCGGTATGTGACTTGCTTGAGATCACACATAGAGAAGAGAGTCTGGATGTTCATCCCATGTTTGTTGGTCTTAAGTACATCTGCTCCTGTCATAATACTCTACTGCCTTCAAGCAGAGAGAGGGGAAGGGGAAGAAAGAGAGAGAAACATTGATTTGTCCCACTTATTTATGCATTTTTTGGCTTTTCTTGTATGTGCCCTGACCGGGGGTCAAACTCTAACCCAGTGAGCCACCTGACTGGGGCAGTGACAGCCCTTTTCACCAGGGGCTCACAGTTCTGTAGGATGCTTCAGTTAACAACTTTTCATTTTGGGAGGTGAGACTCAGACTAAACTAATTTATGGTTGGTAACCTTAATGCATAAGACTGCACTCGTGCCCAGACTGGTGTGACTCAGTGGGCTGGGCTCCATCCCACAAACGGAAAGGTCGCTGCTTAGCTTCTGGTTGGGGCACAAACCTGGGTTGTGGGTCCGGTCTCCTGCTGGGGGCCTGTGAGAGGCAGCCAATGGATGTTTCTTTCTCACATCAATGTCTCTCTCCCTCTCTTTCTCCCTGCCTTCCCCTCTCTCTAAAGATAAATAAATAAAATCTTAAAAGAAAAAAAAAAAAAAGGACTGCACTGGTGAGCATTTGTGATCTTGCTTCCCAGCAATTGTTGTCAGTTTGGCTCAGATACATTCTTATAAAACTGAAAAAAAAAAAAAAAAAAAGATTGCACTAGTTGCAATACAGTTTCAGATTTTTAGAGCAAGAAGAGTCCTTAGCAATAGTTTCTGTCCTTTCAGAGAGAAGTTACCTGAGATGAGGAGAGGTTATGACTCGGCCTCCGCAGTGTAGCTCACTTTGGAAGGGCAGAGGATTGGACCCTAGCTTTCCTGCGTTAAATTCCTGTTGTTGTTTTTTTCACTCAGTAAGTGGTGCTCAAAGTTAAATGTCAGTACGAAAAAAGAACCCATCCTGAGAAGCAGATTAACATTAACTTAGTGTTTTAATTTAAGCAAAAGATGAGCATTCAAATTAAGAGTTTTTCCCCCAGTAAATTCTAAAATAAAGTGTTTTCTTTTTAAATCAAATAGTGTTTAACCAACAAATTTATTCAACGAGTATTTGTGGAATTCAGGAGTGAGATGGGCCCACTGTCCCGGGTGCTGGGGACATAGAAAGGGGCTTAACAAAAAATCCCTGTTCTTAAAACACTTTTATTTTAGTGGGTGGATGTAGATGATAACAAATAAGCGAGTATATAACACATACTATACATAAATGTCAAATGATAAGTGCTGTGGGGAGAAGTACAGCTGGGAGAGGGGTGAAGAGTAATAGTGGGGGAGGGCTCTATTGTGCACAGGGTGGAAGGGCAGGAGAGGAAGGCCAGGGTGGCTTTTAAGCAGAGACCTGAAGGAAGTGAGAGAGTACCATCTGGCTCCTGGGGAAAGTGCATTCCAGACAGTGACAGCAAGAGCCAAGTCCCTGAGAGGGAAGCATCCCCAGCGCCCTTAGTTTGGAGCTCGGAGCCCAGTAAGCAAAGGGGAGAGGACGGTGACAGGAGATGAGGGGACCGGAGCTGCAGATCAAGTCGGGCCTTGTCGATGAGGACTTTGCCTTACTCTGTGTGAATTAGAAATGCAGAGCGGGGCTTTTTCTTGGCCTTTAAAATAGCTATCTGTATTTAATTTCACATTGCTGGCAAAAGCAAAAAACATGTAGGAAATTATTTTTAAGTGTTGAAGTAAAAATAAATTTAAAAGAAATTAAAAAACAATAGCTCAAAAATGCCCACTCAAATATTATTGAATTTCGAATTACGTTTCATAGAACATTAGTCTTTTTTTAAATAAAGGGAATTTATTTATTTCTTTTTAAAAGCAATAGCTCATTTGTGAAAGTTCCAAAAGGTTTCTGCTTCCTATCTCATTTTTCTCCATAAACTCCAGGTGGGGACAGGGATCACACACATTGTTGACAGAGGTGCTAATTGACGTGCCCAAGGTGGCCAAGGTATTTTTTACCTCATAGTAAAAAATTAAATTGATTTTGAACCCAAGCATTTGGTTCATCGTGTTTCATTGTATTTGTTTATAAAGATCGCCGCCCCACGCCCCCCAACACCATTCAAAGACTTGAACAAGACTGTTCACGGCAACTTTGTATTTGCCAAAAACTGTCCACCTACTGGTGAATGGACAGACAAATGTGGTCCATCATATGGTAAGTTCTACTCAGCAATAAAAATATATGAACTGTCAATATTCACAACATAGATGTATGCTGAGTACAAGAACCAAAACAGGAGCACACACTGTAAGAGTCCATTTCTATGGAAATTACAGAGAATGCACACTAATCTGTCTGATGGAAAGCAGGTGAGTATTGCCTGGAGATGGAGGCAGGCAGGGAGGGACCAGAGAAGGGACTGCGAAGGAGCGTGAGGGAGGTTTTAGGGTGATGGTTGTGTTCCCTACTTTGATGGTGGTGATGGTGGTGATGGTTTCATGCTTGTAGGCTTGTATGTTCCATGTGTCAAAATTTACCCAACTGTACACTTTAAATGTGTGTAGTTTATTTTATGCCAGTTACACCTCAATAAAACAAACAAAACCCACACAGGCCCAGAATGCTTTACTCATATTTAGGAAATGAAAAAAGGCAGGGTTTTTGTTTGTTGTTTGTTACTGTTGCTTTTTTACTGTTGCTTTTTTTTTTTTACATGTAAGGGAAGCAGAATTTGTGTTTGGAGCCGATCACCTGAAATAGTCAAGGCTTTGAATACTTAGAATACCCTCAAGTGAAATTTTTAAGGCAATGTTTAGATTAATAAATGTTGATCTATTCCCCAGCCTGTTTATCCCTTGGTCAAAATTCTTTAGAAAGTGTTTATGTGTTTTTATAGAATTCTAAATTTTAGATTTAGAAGTGTTACTGAATAAATGAATAAATTACCTTTGTTCACCAGTA